GATACTATTCGCGACTTAGGAAACAAACCAAGACTAGCCACTCATCTAACAAACCATATCGAAGATGATTTAAATGATGATGATATATTAGTTGCTGATGATGATGAGAAACCCTCATCTGAAATTGCCCCGTTGCCATTAGTCCAAGCTATCTTGGACGAACGTAATGACAACACGAGCAAAGCAACTAATCAACCATCATTTAAAACTCGTGTACAAGCTGGCATCCCCGGTCTCAGACAAAATCCCATTCGGAATTTTGGACGAGGGGAGATGCACTCAACTTGTGATCTTGATGGTTTGGACCTTCCGAAAGCTTGGAAATTGCCGATAAGACCCTTATCAAGCCATTTGGAGATTGATATTAACAATCTCCAAAAAGCAAATGCAATCATGAAGTTTTCGGGTGATATCCATGACTATATGAACTGGAGAGCTTCGTTTCTCGAAACAGTTCATTTTAAAGTCAAAGAATCGGCTGCACGGAAAATAACCGTGTTGAGCAATATGTTACCCGTGGAGGTTTTCAACAAAATCTCACGTGGACACACATATTCTGCCGATGGATATGCTGCCAGAATAAGAAATCTGGAAAAAGATTTCGGTGATGGATCAATGTTATACAACGTTGTTTGGAACAATCTAACGAAGGTTCCTTACGTTGGTAACATGAAACAAACTAATAATCTCGAAAAGTTTATTTCAACTTTCGATGAGTTTGTAAACCATGCCAAAATCCTCAATATCGGTCACGATGATAAACTTGTCTTCAGTATTGTAACTGCAAAGTTTGACGAAGACATAGTCTTGAAGTTTAAAAGCCAATCCCGGTTGATGGGAATGGAAGTTAACGCTTCCAATTTCAGAAACTGGCTTGACGATAAACTTCAAGATATCTTATCGTTACGTGCCGGACAAATGAAACTTTCAATGAGGGGAGAGTCCCGATACGACAAATTCGTACCTAACTCCCAAATGCAGAAGTTTCAGTGAAACCAGCTATTAAAAAACCTACCTTCGGTAACCTTTTTATAGCTGGAACTTCAGGTACTAAATGCCCAATCTGTAAAAAAGATGGTCATTTAGCTGAAGCATGTAAAGCCTTTCTTCAAGAACCTATTAAGGAGAGATTAAAATTGGTGCGAAATCATCAATTATGCTTTCTTTGCCTTAAGGAGGGTCATTTAGCTTCAGCTTGTACTGAAGCAAAGAAATGCTTTTGCGGTCGAGACCATCATCCACGTCTCCATCGAGACGTGCATGGTAAAGTACAGAATGTTAAAACATTTATCTCGATTGAAACTGAAGCATATGAGACGGAAGGTGAAAACACCGATTCTGAAATAGAATCGGAAGCCAATTCCGTTGGGGAAACCCAATGGGATTGACTAACCACCCTTTTGTCCAACGCCAATTGCTGCTTTAATCGCTATTCCAAAAGCATTAAGAAAACATCTTTGCACTTCATAGTAGTAGAAGTTGAAAACCCTACTACTGGCAAAAAACGTCTTCTTAATGCACTAATGGATTCTGGAGCAGATCGAAATTCTTTCGATCTGAAAATCGCCAGAGATCTTAAATTGGAAGGCGATAAAGTGCCATTTGCAATCAATGGTGTAGGTGGAGTAGTTACATCATATCAAGGCTTAATCTCGGATTTGATAATCAGAAACGTAACCACTCGACAATTTTCCAGAAAAATAACGGTTCAGTGCTTTCCTGAACCTGCCGGGAAAATTACTCCTACGCCCATAACCATGCTTAAAAGCAAATTTAAGCATCTAAACGATATTGAAGTAACAGATTTCATAAAGGAACCAGTTACTTTAATAATCGGGAACGACAATCCAAGTTTACAATTAAGTCTCGAAGAAAGAGAAGGTTCTTCAACCCAACCTTTCGGGAGATTATATAATCTTGGATGGTGTGTTTATGGACCAATTACCTCAGGAAATACTGCATTTCCAGCTGTCAACGAAAACCATTTCGTTGACATAAATGAGGCAGATTACTCAATTCCAAAAGAATTGAGTAAAGATTGGCTAAGCTGGTTACAACAGACAGACAAACTGTCGGAATTTGAGATCGACCGTTGTTTGGAGAATGCTTTCACCACAACAACGGCAATATCAAGGCAAATACACGTATTTGCTGATGCATCTCTCTCCGCATATGCCTGTGTGTTGTACATGAGGATTCAATACCAAGACTTGACCATTACAACAAATTTAATTTTTTGTAAAGCCAAGGTAGTGCCAATAAAGCAAAAACCATCCACTCCATAGGAGTGGAGTGATTTTTGCTGAATGGTATGGTATTGAAACAGTAAAAACGTGCTCTGGTGGATACATCGAGAGCATTTTCCAGATATTTACGTCGAAAATCGTGTGTTTTACATCCTGAGGAAAAGTAAAACTTTCCAATGGAGATATGTAAAAACCACATCAAATCCAGCTGATTTAGCTACGAGAGGAATCTCGGTAAAAGCATTAAATCAGTCGACCCTTTGGAAGAAAGGTCCAACCTTTCTTAAGGATGAAGAAAATATCTGGACAGCTTTCACCAAAGAAGCCAATTCTTTGATGAAAGACGAAAGTAA